AACAGTCCTGTACTAACTGCTCTTCACTCAGCATTTTTCCTTGGACGTTGCACAGGTTAATAGCTAATACTCTATGGCACAGTTGAACAAGTCAAAGATTTATGACCTGGTCAGGGGCTCAGACAGTGGTGGAAGTATCCAATTATACCAGAGTTTCTCTGAACCTCGCTCTTCCAAGTCGCAGGGGTTAGGGGCACAGGCCTCTTGCCATCTGGAAAAACCTTGTAAAATTTTTTTGGTCGTCTTCACGAGTGGCACAAAAAGATACTAGAAATGAGAGATATCTCATGAGAGGCTGCCGTAAACACATTTGGCATTATTGTGTCATTTATTTTAGAGTCCTTGCAGTGGAATATAGCCATTGTTATTGATTTAACTGATTCACAATTGTACAGTACAATGGCAGTGAAATGTTATTGTGGCAAGACAGCTCTGTCATTATGCATAAACATATATGCTATAAGGAAAGTAACAATTATGCTGTAAGTTAAGATAAATATTCAAATAGAGAACATTAAAGAACGATTATGTATGAGTATAATATGAAGTGTTCAAAGTTAGATGCAAAATCTTTCCACAGTATTGAAGTGCAAATGCAGTATAAGTGGCATTATTATCAGAATTTAAGACCATGTATCCTGGGTAAAGCAAACACAGAAACTGACAGTGATGACAGATGATAATGATTAAACAGAGTTTAAAGTTTGTATGACCTGAGGGGATAAAACTTCTCCTCAGCCTCTCAGTCCTGCCTTTATGGCTGTGATATCTATTATCCTGACTCACTGTCCAATGAAAATGCAGTAATTGTATGCTGAGTGTGAATTTAGAGATTGCTGTTGTGGTCCCTCCAGCCACGCTCATGCACAGAGGCAGTGGAATTGTCACAGTTTGAAAAACAAACTGTCTGTCTGAGGCTTCTTAAGCCCTTGTGGATTACTTTTCTAAATGTAGAAACAGGCCCTTCAGCTGCTTTCTGACACATGTGCTCAGACGCACACGAGGGTCTTTGTTGGTGGGTAATACTATGTCTACAGTACTTGGGGGTCCAGCCTGCATGATTAGCTGAAAGTCAGGAACAACCAAGGATGGGGAACCAACCCATTGCAGGGAGAGAGAGACACACACACACACACGCCTCTATGGGCAATTAACTCCAATTGACCTCAGCATGCTTTAGGATAGTGCAGGTGGGGGGAACCTCAAGTAGCCAAAAGAAACCCCACAACAACATGCAAACTGGCGGATACCTGAAGCCAGCTCCCAGAGGTGTGAGGCAACAGTACTAACCAGTGCACCCCCGTGCCTCGCTTTTGGTGCAGTCCGACATCGGAATGAGCTCACTGATGTTTTGTGCTTTTGATGTTGGGCTCTTGATGGGTTTCTTTTTAGCATCATTATTCCATTGGAATGTTATCTGCTTTGTGCTGCTGTTTCACTGACCCACATCGCCAGGTGTATTGCTGATCATGTTGAGAGGAAAGGGGGGGGGGTGTGGAATGAAGCTTTTTGTCGGTGTAGCCATTGTGTGCTGCAGACAGGTGGCTGCTCGGTGCGCTAACGCAGCAGCAGCAGTGTCTAGGGAGAGTGATGTGACACTTTGGATGGGAGCAGGAGGAGGCATAGGGAGAGTCGTTATCTTACTCAGGGAAAGCACCAGTAACCCAGTGGAATTCATCATGGAAGTCATCCATCTGTATTTAGATGTTCCGTGTAATGTCATAAAATTCCTAATTGACCTTTGAAATGTTTGCGGTTCACTGTGTTCACATCTGGATTCCCCGGGTTATTTTTATGGGCTCAAAAGGGCTGGTGGCTCAGGTGGTGGCCTGCAGTGAGAGGAGAGTTGAGATTAAGCAGCTTGAAGCCACTTAATTATCAGATGTATGTAGGAAAAGATAGAAGCCTTTGAAGTTTGTTGCACAGAGAGATCACGCATTGCCATGAATTAGGCATTTTGGATGATAAATTAATGATTTGGTTTGTTGTGCTGGTATTAATTTTAGTAATGTGGGCTAACATCCAATGGTGGAAACATGAGCCCACGTACGTCTTGTTCTGTGGGTGTTTCTGGGTTTTCATAGCCTTCGAGCCTAAACAGATAGCTCACCAGTGAGATCATGTCTGGTGTTTAATAATGCTGGTGATTGTTAAAGGAAGGACCTTCTCTCTTGGGCACGCCTGACCTTCTTTGATCAGGATGGGGAGTCCACCCTGCTCTCCTTGGCTGAAGGTTCCAGCAAACTGCTGGAAAATAAGCATAGATTGAGGTACTGTAGCGGATCTTTACATTAAGATGAAAACTCTTTCTGACATAAACCACAAAACATCCCCCACCCAGCAGAACAATGTTGATTTCAGCCAGCTATGAAATGCTCGATGATGGCTGCTATATACTCTGACGTAAACCACGGCCTTAACTGTACTGAATCAAATCATCATGAAAGACAAAAGCCTGTATGTCAGATTTGAGTTTCTGTTTATCCAAGAATGTAATGTGACCAGATTCATTGACCAATTTCACCAAAATGTCTCAACTGGTATGGTTTTGTCATGACGTCTAACCACAGATTTATGTTCATTGATACAGTATTTCAACTAAATGACTCTCTGATGTATATTTTTTATCATAGATGCCCCGATCCGAATCGGCATTGATCCAGACGTATTTGACGGATCATGTATTGGCCGTACGTGACCGATCCATGTCCGATATTTACTTATGTAGTTTTCACCAATCCATAATTCATGTTAAATCTATTTGTACAATGAATCACATGACAGCTCTTTGCCATTTTAGGGAGTGCTCCAGAAAGCAGGACTTCTTAGTTTGCTGGGTTAACTTAAGATGGAAGTCATGATTGTCCAATACGAGTTCAGCTGATGAACATTCCTATTAGACAATTTTCTAGCTTAAGTTAACCCAACTAACTGAGAAATCCTGCTTTGTGGAACAGCCCCTAGAGCTGCATGATGTGTGATAATTATATCGACGTCACATGTTATGGACATGCTGCAATCACTTCGCAAAGACTGTGATAGACAGCTGGGTTGCGGTTAGGCTGGTATTTGATTTTTCATGTGCTTATACTGCCCAGACATTATACTGCAATAATACAGCATTTTGATGGTATTTTCAAAGGCAATACTTTTCCAGTATTTTAAAATCTTTGCAATAAATGTCCCCACCATCGCTGCCTAATTTGGCAGACATGATTTCAATAGCATCATACCCCTCAAGAAATCAATAGAGTTCTAAAACATCTGTCCTGTGTCATAGGAAACAAAACCTAGTGAGCTTTGTAATTCTAATGATTATTTTTTTTTCAGGATTATCTATGTTAAAAGAATTAGCATAAAGTTTACCGCTGCTGCTTTTGCATGAGCTTTGCATGTGCTGTTTGAGCTATGCGTACTAATTCTCATACTTGCTTTTTGACTCATGGAACTTGTGGTGTGTTTGTCAGAAACTTAATAAAAATGACTGAGGAGGAGAAAAGCAATCGGGTATTTGTCACCATTCTGCTGTTTGGGAGTATTTTGGATTTCATACAGACTGTATTGAACAAAAGCAGGTGATTTGTAAATCAGTAAATTATGGACATACCAGCCAAGCCTTCATCTCTCTCTTTTTTTTTTTTGCTTTGTAAATATTGCAATATTCACTGCAAAAAATTCACGTCACAATATTTGAAATTTTTCCATTATCATGCAGTCCTAGTTCATACTGATGAATTAGTGCCAAAATGTTTGTGCTCATGGGCGTAAATTTCATTTAAAAGTAGGGGGGGACAATAAATATAAAATTTCTCATGAGCAATTTTTGAAGGGGACACAAATAATACAGTCAAATTGTACTTATAAAGATATGTCCCCACAATGAAAAACTTTGCTTCTATCATTATTATTGTAGCATGGAGACTGCGTCATTATGGTTATTTTCAAAGGTTTTCTCAGGTTCAATGACAAAGCAGATTTTTCTTCAAAACTATTTATTGCATTGTTTGTTATGTTGTTTACAGTCAAGCCATCAACATACAATAAAATTTAAACATGACTTTAAATGCATAATAGAAATTGATTATACAAAAAAATACAGTGGGGTCAGTTCTGACGTAGCACAGTGCTCATTTAGTAAATGCACAGCTAAACAATATGCTAATTGTGGCCATTAATGTTAAGTTAACATTATGCCAAGTCGTCACAAATAAAACAATGCATGGGAAACGGCTTTGGCGTGTTAGTTGCAGTGCACTATGCAACAAGCTATTGTAAACAAGCTAACGTTAACTAGATGAGTAATATTTTAATTGCTAATATAGCAGATTCATGGAAAATTACATTGGTAATCATCATTTTTGCCGCAATTAATTTATGAATCAGTCTGCATCAACTACATTAAAGAGAATCGCTTTATTTAAAGTGAATAAAATACCCTACTTACTGGAGTTCAACATTAATTGAGCCGCAGCCACACACCTGACTCGTGTGTGTAGAGTAGGTGAGATGGACTGGGAAAGCAGGCAGTTGGCTAAACCACTGTGAGGAAGGGGAGGGGGAACTCAGCTGTTTCTAAATGCATTTTTTGCGTTTGTTTTTTTTTTTCTACTTACACAATTATTTTAGGTATACATACATATATTTTTCACAATAGTGCGATTTTTAAAAAATAATTATTTTGGGGGGGACAACCCTCGAATAGCGGGGGACATGTCCCCTCCGTCCCCCCTGGGATTTACGGCCATGTACACTCATCGTGGATCAATAAAATTAAAATTAAGAATGTAGGGCAACTAATTTTGGACCTGATTGTTATTTACATGGTTGAGTTTCATGGTCAACTAACTAATCATCTGAAAAAGTAGAGCACAGGGCTTTAAAGAATCAGCCTTTTATTATGGACGTCTTTATACACACAAGCTTCAATCACGCACTAGATCAGAAAAGTCACAGTAACATAGCTGGTCTTTTAGGTTTAACGAAGGCACTGCTTTCCTCAGATCTCCATGGAGAACGACTACCTTGGCCCCCGCAGGATCGAGGGTCTGAAGAAGGAGGACGCTGACTGGCAGAAGAAGGCCCACGCAGCCGTGCTGTCAATCCAGGAGCTCACTGTCAAGTATTTTGAGATCACTGCACGAGCACAGAAAGGTAATGCTAAGCCCCCGCACTGCAAGCCCCCGCACTGCAAGCCCCACCCACAGTGCATTCATCATCATGCCTTATGCAATCACAGTCATTTTTATCAAACATAAAGGGTACCAAACCAGAACTGTATCTATACCGTTTAAACACAGTACCTTTATTCTCACTGTCCTTAACTGTATAATGAATGCCTTGAAACTGTTGCATTAAGACTTAATTACATGGAAACATTTTTTTCTCCAACAGTCATAATATATTAGACACTAATTTTAGGAGAATGCATTTAAAATCCAAAGTCAAGCCGGATGTTTCACCAGTCAAGTCTGGTGATTTGGAGACGGTTTGTTTAAACAGGATGAGGACCTTAATGGTGGGATGTTATCCCAAACAAATAAAGCATTTCCAGTAATCTCCTGTGCAGTTTTGGTTAGGAATGGACCTTTGCTCCATGCTGCTGAAGTGTTATTCTCTCACTCGGCTTTGGTGCTCGATGTGATTGCATTTAGGGGAATATGCTTCTTTTTGGGCCCTTGCATATATGTGTAGTCTGTGACATTGGTAAAGGTACACAAATTTGCATATATTCACTGGTTTTGAGAGGAAGGGTTAAAAGCGCGCATGTCTGTGTCCATCTGCAGCCGTGTACGAGCGCATGCGAGCAGACCAGAAGAAGTTTGGCAAAGCGGCGTGGGCCGCAGCGGTGGAGCGCCTGGAGAGGCTGCAGTACGCCACGTCTAAGGAGACGCTGCAGCTGATGAGAGCCAAAGAGATCTGCCTGGAGCAGAAGAAGCACGCGCTACGGGACGAGGTACCTGCTACCCTCTCTGCTCTCCAGCCAGAACGCCAAGCTGTGGGCACCTGTGTGCAAATGTTTGGTTGTTCCTGAAGAGGAGGCTTTATTATAACAGATTTATTTGACCGCAGTGGTGCAGTTACAGGAGTGGTATCGAGTGGTCGGGTTAAGCACAGGCGCTCCCTGGCAAAGGCTGTCAGCTGTGCCCGCTCTCACAGATGCAGAGTCTGCGTGGCGGCGAGGAAGCCATGACACGGCTGGACCAGCTGGAGGCAGAGTATTACAGGCTGCAGCTGCAGCTCTATGAGATCCAGTTCGAGGTCCTCAAGTACGAGGAGCTGCTGCTGACAGCTCAGCTGGAGAGCATCAGGAGGCGAATGATCGGTGAGCTCCGCTCCATGGCCGGGACACCCCCAGCCGGGGGGAGCAGAAGGCTTTTATGTCAGCCATTATTCTTAGGGAAAAGTACAGCTGCTGTGTAACATTTACCCTCGTATACCCTGGACAGTTGGAAATATGTACTTTACCCAGGTCAAAGACAGACGTTTATGAGCCCTTGTAAGATTTATTATAATACCGGTAACATTGTAGTTTCTGTCTGCAGGCCTGCACATTGCGTTCTGGCCTTGTGTTTATGTCTGCACGAGTTTTCAGTTTCTTCTGTCTATTCCGGATTCCCCCTGCCAATGCGCATTTCAGCTGCATCACTGAGATTACTCTTAGCATGGCATTTGCATGTGTATGACAATTTAGAAAATAAATGTATGGTAATAAACAGAGAACACGCATATATCAGATAAGCCGTACAGTGGTGATTACAAATAGTCACAATAATTTAAAAAAAGGGTGTCAACACTTGTACAATCTGCTATCAGTTTCCGTTAGGTTGCAGGACTGAGGTTGTAATTAATGGATTAATAATGTTTATTATTACTTGTTTGGGTTTTTTTGGCATAGGGTTAAATGAACAAATAACGATTGTTCACTTGTGCGCCCGCTTTAATTTAGCTGTGGATTGGTCACTTTTTTCCGGCTATGTTGTGCGACAGAGAGACAGGACGAGGTGGTGTATTACGACACCTACGAGAGCATGGAGGCCATGCTGGGCATCGAGGACGCTTCAGCCGGCGTGCAGCCTCGCCGGGACGAGCTGCTCAAGCTGCAGCAGAGGGCCCGGCAGCTGGAGGCCAAGAGGGGACGCATCACTGCCAAGAAGGCCTACCTCAGAAACAAAAAGGTACGCCGGTGGGCAGCCATGCTCGTCGAGCCCCGGTGCAGAGGCGTAGGGCGACGCTGTGCAGTACGGCTACCTGAAATGTTTATGTTATATATGCACACACATATATACTGTATACACCGACGAGCCAAAACATTACGGCCACCTGCAGGTGATGTGAATAATGTTCACTCTCATAATATGGCGTGTGTCAAGGTCTGGGATATATTAGATGGTATATTAGACTGTCACAAGCACCTACAGTTAGCACAACAGCTTCGGAACTGGACCTTGGTGCATTGGAAGGTCCCCTGGGCCGAGGGGGTGGGGGGCGGGGGGCGGGTTTGGGTCCCAGAATGTTTTAGCTTATTGCCGGAAAAATCGGTGTCTTGTATTTTGTTTGGTTACTTATAGTTAAGGTTAGGGCTGGGTTGGAGTTAAGGTTGTCATTGCTGGGATTAGGGTATTTTTCCCATACAAAGATATGATTATAAGCATGTATATGTGTGTGTGCGTGCGTACTTTAACTATAAATTTGGCAGCCAAATTAATAAAAATAGGAATAATTTTGGCATTATGGAAAAATGAAAATGATGATCTAGCTCTATGTAGGGAAGGTGATTTAGTATAATGTGAAATGTTTATTAAGGGCAGATGCAAGAGGCTGCAGTCTGTGGAAATGACTGTCGATTCACCATTCGACAGGATGATCTCACAGCGATGTCTAATCTGTCCTAGAGCAAGAACAAGAGTTTTTCTGCATCATTCATTGATGTGATTTTTATTAATTTAGAACTTCAATGACAAAGCCAGAGTATGGTTCTAATATTCATTATAGAATGGCTTTTAATATCCACCCAAATGTTTTTCATTAATTCTTTCTTCTGGATAGACATTTCTTTTTATTGAAAATACCAAAAACTATGACCTGATGTTTGCCAGATGTATAAGTGTAGCATTTGATATTCCTACATAAGAAATTTACAAATGAGAGAAGGCCATTCGGCCCATCAAGCTCGTTTGGGGGACCCATCAAGCTCGTTTGTGGTATCATTTCAATTAACTTGAGAGAAACAGACTGAAAGTCTTTGACTTAATGCCCGCATTAATTTGTATGTTGTCAATGTAATGATAAATATGCTGACTTATATCAGCTTTTATTGATATTTACATGAAGCAGCAGCATTACTTTTTGACCTGTTTGCATGTTATTATCTTCTGTTGAAACCACAACAATAATAATAATTCACCCTCAGTTCACCATAGACTGTATAGTGTAAAAAGTAAAGTATTTTTTCTTCTAGTATTTTCAGAGGAAAGGTAGATGGGGGTCAAGGTGAAGTGCTATTGTTAGATGGGGAACACCATCATAAACAGTGTTAATTTTATTTTAAATGCCAGGGCAAATTCGCCCCCCTCAATGTCAAACTCCTTCCAATGCCACTGATCCTCAGTGTCTTTTTTATGCTAATGTGCCTTTTCTTTATCAGGATATCTGTGTTATTAATCACAATGAGAAGATACAGCACCACCATGGCGGTCAAGAAGACCACAAATCCCAGCAAGCCCTGCAACAGGTGTGTCCCTGTGTTAAATTATACATCCATCTTGCATCATATCCAGTACAAAGTGGGTGAGCATACACACGCACGCCTATTAGCCTAACTGCATGTCTTATACTGCGGAATGAAACCAGAGTAACCAGAGGAAAAGCTCATGACACAGGGAGGACATGCAATGGGCACAAAAAGCAGTGAGAGGATTTGAGTTCTTAACACCGGAAATGTGAGGGCCTGTCCCTCCTGTGGATATTTTGGAAACAAATTACAGCAACGCCTTACCTTGACTTATTTTATTTCCATTATTTTCAAAGGAAAAAATAATGTTGCCATCTCAACCCAAAAAACCTCAAACGAATTTTACATACATGTGATTCATTAACAGATTCATGTTCCTTGGCTGGAAACTGCTCTGTCAAATTAATTGGTGCCTAAAATGTTTCTATACATAATATAACATGCTAAAACTGTAATGTTGAAAAATCTTTTTTTTCCCCCCAATAATCCTTGGATGAAAAATGTTATATCAAGAAAATGCGTTTATAAAATTTTGGTATCATTAGTCAAGACCAGTTATAGTGGGGGAAAACGTTAACTGTATTACCATAAATTGGAGGTTTGCCGTAATACAAACTTATTTATTAAACTTGGTTGTCTGTAGCATGACACAAATGGAAAAGGGCATGTTTTTGCCTTTATTTCCTTGCTGTTAAGTCCCCTTGAAATTTCTTTTCTCGTAAGTTCACTGTGTACATTTTCCTTTCCATAAGTCATTTTGCCTGTTTTGGCACAGTTGTGACATATTACAAAAATTCTCTGTGGGGAACCATGGGAGGAGCCCAAGAGTTTAAGCAAAAATTTAAAAAAAACTGTTAGCTAATGTACTATTTTGGCTGGTCACCATTTTGTAAATTGCAGTTGGCAGTGTGAGTTAGTGGTATTATATATGCTGGTAACATTAAATGTGAGACATTTTGTAACAGTCGCTAAAGTCTTTTGTTGGCGTGTTAATCAGAACTTCTGAACTTTTCTGTCACTGTTGCTATTGAATCAGCTGCCTATCCCTCATGAGAAAGAAATGCAGGGTCACCTGACCTGTAGACAAAAACATGGTGTTCTTCATCATTTGAGCCTCTCTCCATCTTCCATGCAGAGAGAGCTGAAGGAGGAAGAAAAGAGGAGCACCCGGGTCAGTCAGGAGAGGCAGACGACGCTGGACCGACTCCGAAGCTTCAAACAGGTCAGGCCAGGCTGCAGGTTCACTCTCAACAGCTGTGTGGTGGAAACATCTGCTGTATTCTATGCTCTGGGTGAAGCATCCATAAAACGATAGCATGACCTCGCTGTTTGTTATACTAATACATTGCCTGGCCAATAAAAAGTCACAGTTTGAATTTAAAGTCAGCAAGTACTTAAGAGCCAGTGATTGGATCATTATTACAGCTCAGCAATGTTATGCAGCAATAAAGTGAAGTCAGCTGAGAACCTGAATCTACTGAATGGCCAGGTTTTTCTTTCCTAATGGCAATTCCAAAAAACTATTTTGAAAAATATTTTCCCACCCTGACTGTTTAAGGGTCTCCATACATGGCAAACAACAAAATTACAACAAACGGTCTAAAGCGCTTATAGACTACGCTGATGCTTTGAAATTTGAATGGGTTAGTTATAGTTCGAATATGAATTTTTCAGTTCATGTTCGAATATTGGGTAAAGAGTGACAGCCCTAAATCAAAGCAAAAGGTGCTCCAACGAAATATTAAAATGGCCCGGCAGTGTGTAAATGTGATTACTACCATTGTTGTAGGCAAACTGACATTAATTTTCATTTTTTAATTCAGATCAGTGTCTATTTCTGTATTTGACTCCTCTGTAGCGGTACCCCGGACAGGTCGTACTGAAGTCCACCAGACTCCGGTTGGCGTATTCTCGAAGGAAAAGCGCTGGGACCCCCACCAGAAACGTGGACCTGGACCAGCCCCAACCACTGATCACAGACGTTCAGTCGGAGGAGATGACCCCAGTTCCCGAGCTTGTAGAATGCCCCACCATTCCAGTTCCCCAACGAGAAAGCATTTCGTTACCTATAGGGGGCGCTGCCGCTCCTCATGCACAGCCAGTCACTTCCTCCCTGCCCACCATCCTGCCATTGGTAGGCGACGTCGCGGGTCTTACTTCCCCTGCTTCCTCTGGGCCCTTACCCCCACCTCCCCCCCCGCCGCCGCCTCCTCCGCCGCTGCCCCCTCCAGCCACCAAGGAGGGTGCTGGTGAGGGGCTGGAGGGGCCGGGCAGCCCCGTGCGGAAGCCCAAGGATGAGGGCAGGGAGGCCAACAAGGAGGCCATCGGGCCCATTTGCGGCCGCTTCTTCGACAGCAGCCAGCTGGTGAATGCAAGGAAGAAGCTGAAAAAGACCTCGGCGCTGGAGGCCTCCCAGCGGAGGAGAGGTAGGTGTTCTGGTGGCCATATTTACTCACATAGACCTTCATGTGCCACCCCGGTGCTCTGTTGGTTATCCTCGGTTTGGCTCAGAGCTGGGTAGTGGTCGCTCCCCTATCTCAATCCACCTGACATGCCCCTCCCACCCCCCACCCCGTCCCACAGCGAGCTCCCCAATGGACGAGGTGCTGGCCTCCCTGAAGCGTGGCAGCTTCCGCCTGCGCAAGGCCGAGCTGCGCGTTCTGCGGCCCGACCCAAGCCAGGAAGACGGCGACAACATCCTGGCGCAAATCCGCAAGGGCGTCAAGCTGAAGAAGGTGCAGCAGCAGGAGCTGCGTGACAGCCTGGGCGAGCTGCACGACGCCGCCGACCCTCTGACGCGCAGCATCCACGAGGCACTGCGCCGCATCAAGGAGGCGTCACCCGACTCGGATTCCGAGGACGAGGGGCTGCCCTGCACCGACTGGGAGAGTTAGGCCCATCCTGGCCCCCAGGCTGCTGTACTCTCCACATCATTAACATACACCTTCCAGTACCTGCCCAAAAGCCCACGTGGATCTCAGCCCTCGCACCTCATGTCTGGTAGTTTTAATTAGAAGTGAAGTTTGTACATGTTTGCTTTTTTTTTACGTATTTTGAATGCCTTTTTCATCTTTCGAACCCCTTCCCCCCCACACTGAGCCTGGTTGACAGCCGAGGCCAAACCCCCCAGCAGAGCGGCATGCCATGGAAGAGCCGGCGGTAAGCAGGACTGGCAGCCTGTGCCGCCTCGACTGACACGCTCACCGCTGCATTACTCCATGTTTTGTTCATACCCTGTATGTGAGATCAGGTGTCAGAAGAGCAGAAGGTGACAGCGGACTTTCTGCCGGTCACATCCAGCTGAGGCTGGCGTTTTTACACTACCCTTGGTGACATGTTTGATATATTCCTCTTCTGTAAGTTTTATCTTTGTTTTTATGTCCATATTTACTGATTTCTTTTTGTGATTTATAGCTTTATAAGATCTTTCATTATGCGGGATGTGTCATCTTTATATTCACCTCGGCTTGTGTCCCCCCCCCCCTCCCCGGCTTCTGAGTCGGGCCGTGGGGGATCAGTTTTGTTGCAATATGAACATTGGAGTTGGATTAGCGTTTTAAGGAGCTGAGGTTTTGAGAGCTTACTCTGGGGAGTCCTTGAAGATGCAAACCCTGTTACTGCCGCAATCAACACATAGTCCTTGTATTGAACTGTAAGGTGTTTGGTCAGTCAATGCCCTGCATCCCAAAGCGGGGACACCCCCCTCTCCCCCACACAATACCTTTGATGACCTGCTTTGTTGTATCCTTTCCATTTATACTCGCCATTTGCTGGTCTTTGTATCTGCCACATATTGCCACATATTTAAGTTTGTCCATCCATTGCGCATGCTGGTTCATTTATCTCTTTTGCAGTTGATTAATTTTCTGACACCATCACCCCCCTCCCCCTACCATGTATGTTTGGCCATTAGACTATTTTCTCCTTCTTAGGAAATATATACTTGATTTATGTTTACCTGTCAGCTAATTTACTCATTTAAATGCTGTCCGTGGGACTAATACTCAAATTTTTTCTCAGTATTAATATTTTTTTAATGTTTAAAACATAGACTAATCCAAACTATCATGCTGTCATTTTTGTGTGAAACAAAACGTTACAAATTATTCCAAATGAAAACAATCAGTTGTTGAGTACTTCAGAGGTATTAGCATTTTTGTGCTTCTACTTTTGTCCGGTATTACACCGCTGTCATCAAGGCTTATCATTGCAGAATATCATGTCAGCACAAAATGCAGGCTTTTCACCTGTCGTCAGTGGATTTGCTCTTCATTTACCTGTGTTGTTTATTTATTAAATACCGTGTCGGTCGTCTCTAACACCTTGCTGTGTTACAGTTCTGCCACAGAATACTAAAACTGTCAGACTGTCTTTGAATGCACTTTTAAATCCTTCACCAATGTCTGTACAAAGGCCTGGGGGGGGCCTCTGGTTTTCAGCTAGCTCTGAGTATAGTCACCCCCTGTCCACCCTTTCCAGGGGGAGGGGAGGGTTCTCCACTGTTGCTGACGAGGACCAGTGATTCACTCCTACTGGATACCAGAACCTGGCAGTTTCTGCAAAGACCAGCCTGTCTGTGCAGTGGAGACAGCTGGCTGCTGCTTTCCTTTGATGTTTGTGATAGCTGGAATGAAAGGACAGATCTGAGTACTATTGCATTTGAACAGTCAGTTTTTTTTGTGGAGATTCATTATATTCTCGCACTTTTTATCGTACTGGGATTTCCAGCCTAGGACACTAATACTGTTTGTAATACTGATTGTTATGCAATAGTGCCACATCCAGCCAATCCTAATACTGTAGAGCACGTGGATTTGCCGGAGAGGCCACTGGCTGCTTTCTCTGTGTAGTACGCACTGATTGGCCTTTAGGCTGAAGCCCTGCCCACTGGCTACTTTCTGTGTGTAGTATGCACTGATTGGCCTCTAGGCTGAAGCCCTGCCCTCTGGCTGCTTTTTGTGTGTAGTACGCACTGATTGGCCTCTAGGCTGAAGCCCTGCCCTCTGGCTGCTTGAGTGGCAACGGTGAGCCATCTGACAGGAGAATGAGTGTTCATGACCAAGCTCTTTAGGCATTCCTGCACTGTGCTGATTCCACATTGCGTGCATGGTGGTTGAATGTTTTGTGTGACATGGTTCCTCCTTTTTGGTAGAATTAAGTTTAAATCTATTTTTGAGTTTTCGTTCAGTTTACTTCATCCAGACTTCCAGACTGCAGACATATCCCGCCACGGTCTTCTGCACAGCTACAGTGCCACCTACTGACAGAATTTGGATGGATTTTTTGTTTGTTTGTCCAGTCTGATTCTCAGGCTTGCTGATGTTGCTGTGGCTGCTTAGTTATTATTTAATACATACAGGTCTGAAAAGACACAGATCTATAGGGCTTACCAGCGTTCTGTTGCAGACTGAAGAGTAAATAATATGTTGTCAGTCTTTTGTGCTCAGTTTACTGTTTGGCATGGATCTTAAAAAGATTGTGGTTGAGTGAAGCAAGTAGGAATTGTAGAGTGAACTTGGGTTAGTGTATCTAAAGTGATCAATCATTATAGTTCCACATGGACACAGATTCCACTAGTTTTAAAGCACCTTTCCCAGCAGAACTTTGTCAGATAACAACAGCAAACCTGGAGCTGTAGTTAATAATTAGGCGCTGTGGCAGAAATGCAGTTCCTCTCTGCCCTTGATAACTGCAACTGCGGTTCCCTGTAAGGACTCCAGCTGTGATGATGCACAAAAAAAACTATTTATGTCATGTGATCCAGAGAAAATGGCAGTGTGTGTCCCTGGTCTGTTTTTTTAAGAATGGGTGATGGTTACCTGTATTTTAAAGGAGAATTCCCTTGATGACTGACTGTTGCAATACAGCATTTGCTTTGAGAGAATTACTGAGATTGATTGCAGTTAATATATCAGGTGTGTCCCAACAGAGTGTCATAGATTGCATTCAGAAATTGGTCGTATGTTAACCTCAGTCTGTTATTTTGTTTTTTGCTACTTTTTGAAGAGGGAGTCAAAGGAAAGATTGTTCCCAGTTAACCTCAGAAAATAATCTCACCAGAGACACTGCAATGAGCTATAAGAAGACAACAAATATAATGTATTATTATTATTATTATTATTTATTACTGGTAACTCCCGTATCTGCATTCCCTCTTGGAATTAATTGCTTTCCAATGAAATACCAATAGACTGAGGTTTTTAAATATAATAATAAAACTTGTGTAAATAAACATATCTATTTTACCTGCCCATTTCTGCTTATAATTAGAATTATATTTACATTTTGCTGCATTACTATTATATACTATATTATGCATTTCTTATTTCCTATTGAGCAGATTGCTTTTCTATGCTTTTGTGCAGTGACACTTTGAATTTTTAATTATATTTCCCAGGCAAAAGTTATATCTTGGCTAAGCGATGCTTATGCTTTTATTTAGTTTTTTTTCCCCCAAAAATGTACGTGTGGCGTTCACTTCTAATTCTTTCATTTATATAATAATTATATTTGTTTGGATGATTGTTGACATTAGATTTTCTTTTTTTTTTGTATTTTGTTTTTCCATAGCTTTTTATTGGGCTGCTTTTTGCATGACTAAGTACTTGGTCAGCATCATTACATTCGGTTCACATTATTTGTATGTTAATATGGTCATGTTGGTTTGGGCAGTGTGATTAAGCACAGCCCATTTAATCACCATATCTTTGCCGGACCTGTGCCATTTTGTCACATGTCTGATTTTGACATTTTCAGCATTTTTGAAGATGTTTTGGAAATAGAGGAGCTCTTGTTCCTAAATGTACTCCGTATTTCTGCAGTTCACTGGCTGACCACTAGTTGGTGCCATAAATGAAGGGTTGCGTTATGCTTGGGAAATATGATTTTATTCTTTGTTTGACAAGATGGGCATTATTGGGAGTTTAATTAGCCCCTCTGCTTTGTGCTGGGAACAGTCATTGTAATCAGAATAATTCAGGATGAAGGACACTTGCCTGGGTGTTCGCGTTGGCCTTTATTGGTGGAGGGCAAAGTTTTTCCAGTAGCGTGTGATGTGTGTATGTTGGCTGTAGGGGAAGGGAGGGGGCAGGATTGGGCAGAAAGGGGACTGCAGACCTGTAGACATACAAGTTCAATGCAATTCTGATTTCCCACTTTCATCTTATTAATTTTATAACCTAAAGGACCTGTGGTGCTTGAGGACCCCCCTGGCATTCCATAAATTTGTCCTATTCTGCCATCTGGTAATCTGGTCGTATTGTATTAAGTGTTTGGGCAGAGTAGCAGGGGTCCTGGAGGCTGTTGGAGCAACGGACACAAGGTGGGTTGCATATGGGACCAGATACGAGTTCTTTGCAGAGCACATGCATGCATGCTGTGGCAGCGTGGCTGTTTCCCCTAACTGCATGTCTGGGGAATGCAGGACGAAGCCCACATGATGTGCGCTCCGCAGACAGGTAGGGGCAGCTTTCAGACCCTCAGCACTGGAGGTGTGAGGCGGCATTGCTGTCCTGCAGTGCTGCACACAGTTACCATACCACTCTGTAGCATATGGAGTTCTGCTGTAGCATGATTGGTTCAATTTAAAAGTTTAAACTGATAACCAAGTTTCTGGCTACTCCTGTTTTTTGTATATTTTGTCATTGTTTATTTTATTTTATTTTATTTTATTTTATTCTGATAGTATGTACTTTGTTCATTGTGTGACTGTATGGACCACTCACATGTTTCAGTCCTCAGAGAAGACAAATCTTATTCATCTTAATTTTTTTTCTGCATAAGGAGTTTGCAGCGACAGTAATTTCACAGGCATCAGTGTGAAATAATCTAATACTGTATTTATATTAAGATCTTCAGTATTATTTTGGGCAGCACTAAAAGCCAGTGAAACAGTCTGTAAAATTACTATTGATTTTATTTTTCCTTTCTTTTGAATATATTAGCTGATCTGTGATATTTGCTGTCACAACTTAGTCTGTGAATTTGGCCTTTAAAAAAGATTTTAAGAAAAAAAACTGCTTCTAACTGCTTTTCTAATGTCCCCTTTTATAATACAAGTAGATAATTACATTTGTCCTGATAGATTCTTTGCACATTTTGGAATGTGCAAGAACAAACAGGTTAAATGTGTCTTAGGTTTGCCTGGTTTGCGCAGTGCGTAACTTACCGTGAACCAGTGTAAATGTCTGGAATGGTCCTCGGGCCACAATTTGACAACTGCTTTTGCATGCTGTGATTTTGAGCGCTTTTGGAAACACAACATACTGTATGGGTATTTGGAGGATCTTCTGCAGCAGCAGTTCCCTGGGTCACAGTGTAGATCTCCAGCCCACCGGTGTCCCATTAGGAAAGCAAATGTCCTTCATTTGGCAGATATCGATCACCCCCAGTTTATTTTTTCTTTGAGTGTGAACATTAGCATGACCGAAGTAGCACCAGTTAACATGAAGTCTGAAACTTGCACTGGAAAAAAACCGTATGGAGTGTCATGAAGTGAATGCCCATAGGTCGAATGAAGTTTTACTGCTGTTATTAACATTGGATAAACTCTTCATCCAGTCATTTGCTTGTTTGAACTGTACATCACATGCATGCAAACTGCTGGCTTTGCTTACTGGTAGCTAATCCACCTTATATTGAAGTTTTTTTTGTTTTTTTTAATTACAAATGTGTCACCTGTCACAGTGTTTCCTTACTGGTACAGCAAACCAAATTGATGATTTTGCCTCAGTACTGACTTACTGTAGATGCATAGAGGAACCTCACCATGGACCTAGTCCACCCATCCACATAGTGTACTGTAATTATTTAATTTTTGTTTTCCTGTATTTTCTACCTGTTTCTAAGCACCGTTCGTTGTGTAACTTTTTTTTTCTTCCATATTATAGTTTTTGTTGTTTAATCTCTGTTTCAACCAACACTAAAGAGTTGTGTTTTTTGTTTTTTTCCCTTTCCATTTAGCCAGCAAATTTTATTGTAGATATACATGGCTCACCTGGGATTCCAATGATTCAGTTCATGGTAATTAGATTAGCCAGTCACTAGATATGTGCAATATTATATTAATAAAAACTGAATAATAAACATACTTAAAAAAAATGTATATTATACTGTAAAGAAGTACTATTAAATCTTGCAATCACATTGAATTTATGTGAGAATAGAATGACAGGATTATTTATTGAATAAAGTAAATGCTAGCTACATTATTCAAATGGAAAAAAAATGCTTCAATGGTTTTGTTTGCCTTTACTCTGCCTATTCCTACAATTCTATTCCTGCTTTGTATTTTAATTTTTTTTTTCCCGCCAAGGTGAATAAAACCTTGTAAACCAAACAATTAAGTGAACTATTTTCTTCATTCTTTACTTAATGTACTTCACTGTTTAGGTGGTTTGCCTAAGTTGAATGTACTTATATGAGCTTGGACACCCTCCAAAATGTCAGACGGCAAATGTGTCACATATTTAGTGTAACTTAGTATTGCTCTGTTTCAAAATCCAGCCAACTCGGAATTGGTACTCAGGGCTCCCATGGCCAAACTGTAGAAACAAACCTCTGCGATCTGCATTCTTTACCTTGGTGGGAATAAAGAAGTTGCTGCAGTTGTTTTTTCTCTTGCTTCCTGAAGGGCAGTGAAGTGTCCCTGAAAACATTGAAAGATCACCCCGCCTGCAATGTACAGCAGAATTCACGATGAGTCAAACGCGGCAACTACGACACGGAGTAAAACATATCTGTGTTAAGCACGTGGCAAAAGTCACCCATTCATCTTCCAACCGAACAGGGTCGTGCGCTCAATAGCAACATTTAAAATTTATTATTCAGTCATTACTCCCTTTCAAAGTTTTATATTAATGCTTACATCTGGTAGTATAACGCTAGTTTTAGCAGTATTCTTCAAAGTAAACCAGTCCAACTACAAGCCCTTAAATAATGTTCTTAGAGTATACATTTTCTTCTTCATATATCACAGATTTTTGGCAATAATATACCCCACAAACAGTACCATCAACAAGCTACCCATAATGCATCTTTGTGCTAAAGGCAGCTTCTATAAATTCACTGTACAAGAAACTATATTGTATTTGGCAAAGCAATAAAAAACAAATTAAATCATCATTTGCTTCACTGCAGTCCACTTACGTTCAGTTCAAGTTGCTGTCTGACGTTTATTTAGTGTGTTAAATAGTTCAAAAATATTGCCAGATCTTTTTTGCACCTAGAAATAGTCATAATACCCACAAACCAGACATACATAGAAAACTAGGAGGGAAAGAACATCTGAGGTCCATTGATAAAATCATTGTTTTGAGAAGAACAGTTCCATTACAACATTCCTTTAAATAATCATAGAAGGGAGTCAGATCTACTGTCGCACTTCAAAAATGAACTAAAATGATTTTTCTCAGATTCATCCAGTCTCGTACAATTCAGGTTTTAGAAGTATCGTAAAAAGTTTCATTTAAAAAAAAGTACATAAAACCAAAGACTTTTTTGTAGTCACTTTGGAGCAAGCAACCGAAAAGAGCCTTTGTGCATCTCGACGAGAGGTTCTCTGTCCCATTCGCTTCAGAAGGGAGAGGATTGGAATACCTGATTGTGAGATCGCAGTGTGTTCAAAGGCTCCTCCTTGTATTGCTCTTTGATTACAGGCCTTTCCCGTCGTGCGTTAGACCACGGTGCTCGAGAGCGAAGCCTGGAAGGCTGATTTATTGAGGGTAAGGTGTAGACGTGTGTGTCGGGAAGGCAGGGAGCGGCTCTGGAGGTGCAGCTGTGGAAGTGCCGGCGTCCTCCCGTGGACAGACAACGCTGGCAGACACCTGTGGAGTCTCTTCCAGCCGTCCTGCTCTACCCTCCCTCAATCCCCTCCCCTCGTTCTCACAGCTCATGTCCAGTTTGTCACACAGGATGCAGCCTCTCCCATGGGAACCTCGAGAGGGGGAGTGAGACGGACGGCGACACAGTCTACGTCCTCATTGCCCCCTCTGTCATCTGCCCTACCTTGGCTTGATCATGTCAGTTGTAATGCAGAAATGAATAGAAGGATAAGAGAGACCCAGGTAAATAAATATATAAATAAATACATAAATATGCAAATACATAAATTCTCAACATCTTCAGGTGACACCTGATACACGTCATATCACCCTTTTGAAATGGAAGGATAAAGAAAGAAGACTATATTGGATATTTCTCAAGATGGAATACAACCCAACACAAGAAAAAAAATAGCTAAAGTTCATCAAGTGTCTGAAAAATAACTGCCTTCTGAATTAGTGGAAAAGAGATGATGGTAGGCAGGACTCAGTGGTGGGTACCTTGAGTTTGTTTACCGAGTGTTTCTGCACAACGTTGGCGTGTCGTTTTCCTGGCTGGGGCATTGGGGGTCTTTAGCTGCCTTCGATGAGCTTGGCCAAGTTGTCCCGCAGCTCTGTCAGCTCGAAGATCTTCCCATCCAGGATTTCCAGCAGGCTCTTGAGGTTCCTCCGGAAGGTCTCCTGCTCCAGCTGGCTGCTCTCCAAGCGCTTCTCCAGCTCGGTGAGTTGGCTCTCCAGGTCCTTGTTCCGTGTCTCTGTCTCCTGGGAGGCGGAAAGGTGTCACAGGCGGCAGAAGCTATGACAGGAATGTCTGAGGAGATCCTACCTGTCCGTCTGGCTAATTTGGTAGCAGCAGTTAAATGGCAGTAGTTGGACCAAAGCTGGACAACAGCTACATGTCACATGGTGTAACATACACTATGTGTGTGTGTTTATATATATATATATATATACACACACACGCAGACGCTCCTCTACTTACGAACGAGATACATTCCAAATGGCTGTTCGCAACTTGAAATGTTTGTAAGTCGTTATTCAACATCATTTTAAGGGTATACGCAAGTACTAAGAACTAGGATGCTGGGTGTACGCAGCACTCTTCGTTCGTATGTCTGAAAATTCATAAGTAGAGGAGCATCTGTATATACATAGTACTAGTCAAAACATCTACCCAAAGAAATGTTTATTTGTACTGTTCTCTACAATTTAGAATAAAGACATCAAGACCATAAAATAACTTTCTTTGTGCACTGACCAAAAAAAAGGATTTAAAAATATTAATTTTTGGGGGGGGGGGTAGCTCTGTGGGTTGTTGCTGGTTCAAATCCCTGGGTTGGCAGAGTGATCCCATCATTGGTCCCAATTGCTCCAGGGACTGGGTGACCCCACTGTCTCCTCTACACCAGTTTCATGAGGTGGCCTCCTGGGATGCTTTTCCAGCTGTCCTGAAGGAGGTCCACATATATACTGAGCACTTATTGGCCGCTTTTCTTTCACTCTCTGGTCAAACTCCTGCAAAAGCATTTCTACTGTGTTTAGGTCAGGTGGCCTGGTCATGTGATGCGACACTATCACTCTCCTTTGTAGGCGGCTTGGTGTGTCCAAACTTTTGACTAGTATTGTGTATGGCCGTATGTATATTATAGATGCAAATTAGCACACAAACTCCACACACACACAAGGGGAGGTGGGATTCAACCCCCCAAACCCTGGCAGTTTTTACATTACATATATCCACCCATAGTCCTTCCTATTTCTGCATATATAAATATTTTCACCGTGAAGCTGTATTGCTGGAAAAACACAGATGCATGCTCTGCAGTTTTTCCCCAGCGGAAATATGGGTTCACACTGCTAAGCAATTTGAAGCTAATCTCATGCACTGAAGACGCTCAGGCCAGGAGGGCATTCAAGTCGTGAGGATAGCATGGCACTCAGAGATGCTTATATTAGCAATAAATTCAGAATAATAAACCCTTGCCTGCAGTTTCTCAGTGAGGGAGTCTCTTTGAGCTTGTAGCTGGTTCGCATTTTCCACCTCCTCTTTCAACTTTTCAAGTTCCTGCAAGGACGTGAGAACAGATCAATTCCGTGGGCTGATCTAAAACACAACAGCCTAAATAAAATGTCACTTGTTCACTGCTCAAACTGGCCAATGTGACCATTGTTTTGATTGTCTTATTATAGTAGGTCTTCATACTTGGGAGTGTAATGTACACAAGACATTGATTAGCCAGGGGTGGAGAGTTCTGGTCCAGAAAGAAAAAATCCAGACCGACATTTTGTTTCAACAAACCAGCTGAATAATCTGTGACTGTGACTCTTTATACTCAACTGGCTGGTGGAAACAAAATGTTGGTCTGGAGTTTTACTTTCAGGACCTGAACTATCTACCTCTGTGGTTGTCTTTGGTTCTTCCGTTTGGCCAGAGTTCATACGGCTATTCAGACTCACCTTTTCCTTAGCCTTCAGCGTAGACTCCAGCTCCTCTATTGTTTGGTTGAGCTCAGTTTTATGAGACTTTATCACATTGGTTTGACCACTAACACACTCCAGCTCTGTGACCTAAGAACACACACAGACAGACACAAATTAACAGCTGATGTCCTGCTTTTTCCAAAACAAGAACTGGAGTGTATTTCATGCCCTCTTGTGGGAATATGTGCAGGCAAACAATGAAGATACTTTTAAGCTATAATTGGTTTTTTATTACCAGAATGAAATCCCGAACTGTTCAAATATCAAATATATATATATATTAACTGATTAACTGCCTCTAAAGCAAGAGAGACACACATCTGTGCTGTGGGAAGGAGAGGAGTCCCTGCTCCAATCGCCGTGTCTGTTCATGACGTGGGCGGCTGGGAGATGGAGGGCGGCACCGTCACCCCACACCTCCGGAGCCGCGGCTGTCATTCCTGCCTGCAGCCCTGCATGTGTGAAGTCTGCATGTCCTTCCCGTGTTTGTGTGAGTGTTCTATCACCATCCAAGAACGGGCAGATGACTGCATTGCCTTCAGTGAGTTAGTGTGTGCCCTGTCATCGACTGACATCCCAACCCGGGCTCCCCTGCCCTGTGGCCTCCAATTTTGGGGAGAGGCGTTGGGGTGCATGGCCCTGTACTGGATAATTAGTATGGATGGATTTACAATCACAGCTCTAAAACATGCCTTATTTGATTGCCAAATGAATGCACAGTAAATGAAATCCTTCACACTATGAAAGAAAATATACGTTCTATTTGTGTTACTTAACAGTGTGATTTTTTTGTTTTTTACTTTATGCTAATGGTTGGCAATAATATTTCCCAGAACACCAGTAGTAAAGGTGCTGCTTATCCGCAGACGATCTCTGCTCACTGTCACCCGTTCGGACGGCTCCCTCTTCTGCGCTTCAGCCGCAGTATTTGCTGAGTATTGCTGCCCACTTACCCGCTTGTGCAGCCTCTCAGCCTCCTCCTGATAGGCCGCCAGCTGCTGCTTCCACTGCTTGACGTTGGCTGTGGATTCCAGGAGCGCAGCCGTCAGCTTGGCGTTGTTGCCCTTCAGAGCCGCAAGCTCCGCCTCCCAGTGCTTGTTGATGGCAGCGCTGGAGAGACATTTCAGGCCTGTGAGACACTGCTTTACAGCACTCAAGAAAGTTCCATCCAAAAAAGTCCATCCGTCCATCCATCCATCCATCCATACATCCATCCTCTAACTGCTTTTCTAGGTCAAGGTTGCAAGGCAACTGGACAGTAAATAATGAGTAAATTATTTTGAATTCAAATTTCATTATATACTGAAATTGTGCTGGTCTAAGCAATTAAATATTCTTTATCCCCTCACTGGCCACATTATTAGGTATACCTGTTCAACTTTTTGTTGAAGTAAATATATAATCAGCCAATCGTATGTCAGCAGCACTATGTACTGTACACAATCATGCAGGTACTGGTCAACCGTTTCAGTTAATGGTCACATTGTACACCAGAATGAGGAAGGAAGGTGATTTTGGTGACTTGGAATATGGTGTGGTTGTTGGTGCCAGACAGGCTGGTATGAGTATTTCAGAATCTGCTGATCTACTGGGATTTTCACACACAGCCATGTCCAGGGTGTACAGAGAATGGGCCAAAAAGGAAAAACATCCAGTGAGTGGCGGTTCTCTGGGTGAAAATGCCTTGTCGATGGCAGAGGAGAGAGAAGAATGGCCAGACTGGATCAAGCTGGTAGAAAGGCAACAGACAGGCAACTCAATAACCACTCGTTACAACCAAGGTATGCAGAAGAGCATCTCCAAATGCACGACAGCTGAACCCTGAAGCAGATGGGCTACAGCAGCAGAAGACCACACTGGGTACCACTCCTGTCAGGAGGAAACTGAGGCTACAGTGGGCACGGCCAAATCAAAATTAGACAATGAAAGAATGAAAAAATGCTGCCTGTTCAAATGAGTCTTGATTTCTGCTGTGGCAGAGGGTCAGAATTTGGTGTAAACAACATGAAAGCATGGATCTATCCTGCCTTCCATCACCACATGACCACAGCCTACCTGAGTACTACTGCTGACCGTGTCCATCCCTGTATGACCGCAGCCTACCTGAGTACTGCTGCTGACTGTGTCCATCCCTTTACAACTACAATGTACCCAGAATGCTAATGGCTGCTTCCAGCTGGAATGGTTTCTTGAACATGACAATGAGTTCACTGCACTCAAATGGCCTCCACCGATGGGATGTGGTGGAATGGGAGATTCGCATCATGACTGTGCAGCAGACAAATCTGCAGTAACTGCATAATGCTATCATGTCGACAGGGACAGGAGCCTCTAAGGAGAAGTACCAAGTACCATGTTGAATCTAAGCCATGTAGAAATAAAACAGTTTCTGAAGGCAAAAGTGGATCCAACCCAGTACTAGCAAGGTATACCTACAGTGAGTGTATATCTTACATTATTAAATAAATAAAATTATTATTCAATTATCCATCTCAACATTTTCCATGTCTCCAAATGAACATACATGAACTCACATTCTTGATTTATAGACAAATTCCCATATACATACACAAAACCAATGTCTTGTTTCATCTGGATTTATATCTTATTTGACAAAGAGATATAGCAGATATGTAAAATGCTGTGTGAATGTTAAATTTATTTTTTATTACGACTTTGATGACGATCAGACCACATTTTATGCCATTCATAAATTCATTCATGCAGAAATATGGGTAATTCCAAAAAGGTTCACCTTTGTTTCTCTGTTTGACCTTCTATAATGTAGGTAAAGACCGAGGTATTACTGGTTTGAGGTGAACATAACTGCAGGTGCCAAAAGACAGAAAAAATCCACACTTGGACCCAAATACAAATCGTGGTTTTGAATCCTTTTGCCTTCTGGAGTGAAACCCAAATTCCAGCCAAGGTGTGAGGCAACCGTCTGCCTGAGCCAGTACTATCACTGTTTGACACTGGGAGACACATTCGATTTTTACAGATTTTATACTCAAATTCAGGACCTGCACCCTCAATAAAGAGAGCGATGGGGGTTTGCTGAGGGGCATCGGGATGACCCCGGGTAGGGGGGCACCTCGTGGGCACTTATTCTGTCGGGGTAACAACTGGCAACAGACTTCACACCAGCACCTTGAGAGCCACAAGGCAATTACAGAAAGCCCCTACAGTCAAGCTGAGCCAAAACTCACTCTGTGAAGGAAATTAACACACAGCCGAACTGCAGGTTGGCACTCTAAGCTGGAAACCTGAAATACCTTCAGCTAGCATTCCAGCCTCACCGCAAGGCAGGTGAAATTACATTAGGAGATAAAGCACAAGCAAAACACACACATGAACGTGATACTGCAAATATAAAATTCTGTCCTATAAATGGTTTATAGCTCCTTGTACAAACACTAGTCGTTACTAAGTTTAAGTGGCCTACTTCTGCCCTTTGTGTGGGTGTGATGTCCCCGAAACTCAGACGCTTCTTCTTTGATTACCTTTCTTTTGCTAAGCTACAGGACACTGGCCTAAGCTCTTAGCCCCTGAGTTATTCTGGGGGATGAGCCCGGTGAATGGCTCTGTAATTCATTTCCTGAAGTGGGCCGTTAAGAGGTCTTGGCTCCTTGAGGAGGTGGTAAAGTTAGTTCTTAGCTCTTGTACAGCAGGGGGCAGTATACACCCTCGAAATGGGTTGTGACCGACTGTTAATATCCATAATGGTATTAAGGTGAGACAGGCTCCTGCATGGGCATTTCATGAGTTCATGAGTTTTCGGTAAATGATTTATGCTTTAGTCCATGTTTCTGAGGCTAACATGATGACAGCAAGACAAAAAAATGAAACAAAAATGGATGGGATAGATCCCTCATTAATCACAAGACTTTCTAAATGAGACAATGAGCCCGTAACCACATCAACCACAGTTTTCAGAAATTAAAATATGAACAGTACAAACCCTGCTGTGTTTTACCATTTGTGGTGAGGTCACCGCAATGTGTCGACCACACTGAGACTGTTAATTCCACCTCCTGCTCTAAAGCCACGAGCTTTGGCAAGCAAAGGTCTGTAAAAATAATTTTGTGGAGTCTCTCTGTGTCAGTGTCAGGCACCATGGACTGTATGGATAGTTGCAAACGAATTAAATCATGTAAGAAGTAAAACAACTATAATATTTGCCAATGCAATTAATAATCCAATATTCATTACATCAGTCTTTCCCAATCTTGCCCATGGGGGCCCATAGATGGTCCATGGTTTTGCACCTGTAGGGAGCTGGGAGGGAGCAAAAACAGGGACTGTCTATGGGTCCCTGAGGACTGGATTGAGAAATACTGTATTAAAGAAAGAAAAACAGCAAATTATGTACAAACTCCAGGGTCTGGAATGTTATGAGAGCAGGTATTAAAAGGTGACACTCTACTGATATTTTCAAATATCTGACCTAAAAGTCAGCCTGTTAGCCGAACACCTGACTGAGTAAACGCCGCAGAACACTGTCTCGGGACATTTCTCCTGCCTCCGAACATAAAGTTTAGCTTCTGAAACGTTTTCATGGAGGCATGGCAAAAAGTTACTGCCTGACATTAATCACAGTAGACTTCCCAGCCGTCATGAATAAATGATCAGAATTACCTCCCACACATACTGCCCCTGCCCGCCTGCCAGGCGGTTCAGTAATTACCCCCCCCCACGTTACTCACCATGTGACTGCCTCCTCTGAGCCCTACATGGAGAGACATTCAATTGCCGTGCTCGATACCCCCCGTCTCCTCCTCCTCCTCCTCTCATGGCCCCCGCGGTGCATTCGCGTCATTGACGGGAGCCCCATCCCACACAGCGGAACCCACGGACGGACCGGGCCGCTGACGTGACAGCGGGCGTTACTGCTGCACTTTAAAAAGCCCCGCGCCGGCGGGAGAGAGTGAGCAGTAGTGAGAGGGAGTGAGAGAGAGAGAGCGTGCACATGGGCGCTCTGGCCGCTTGCTGACCGACCGCGGCTCTCACTCTCACCGGCTTTCAGGACGGGGAGCCCTCGGTGGGGTGGCTCGCGAGGCCGGGCGCCTCATTTAGGTAAGTGACTTTTAATTACATTTGCCAAGCTCAGTACCACTTATGCGGAATAATGGATGCCTCTGAGTGCAGTGCCGTGATTCAGTGCCTTCTTCCTAAAGTGTTCTATTTACACTGATGTCCTCTGTGTTTGCAGCCCAAGGCACAAAGCCCTGGCATCCCATCATTATTGATCATGTTCTGTAATGACGTACGGAACAGAGTGATCGCTCGGGGTCCCAGAAAGCTTCGCTTTTTCCTGCCACTTAGGATGTTAATATTTGAGTGCATCCAGACTAACAGAATGCAGATCTGTGACTGTAACTGCATATATGCTCAACAATGACTATGAGTTATTATGTTAATATCTATAATTTACTATTTAAAAGGGATTTAGGAGAACGATTGGAATATTCAGAATTAAACTGTTTTTTTTTTTCCTGCGTGTGTATTTAGTTACAGGAGAATCATTGAATCATTTATCATGTCAGCTTGACAGTCATGAATTCTGTCTGTTCTGTAGGTGAATCCAGGTAAAGCTGCTTTGGTAAATTGGAACTCGAACCATTTCTATGCTACTGTACTTCCTTAATTACTTCTCAGTTTTACTCACTCTGCATTTTTTCTAGAGCTTCCACTTTTAATTATAAAAAAATATTTTAAAATTTTTTTACTTGTATATTTGATCCCTATCCTAATGCATTGCTATAATAATACTGAAATCAGAAGCATCAAAACAGGCAATGTGTTTCCGTGTTGCTTTTCACTGATTGACATCACAGACTCATTTTCAGGTCACAGGGGCTGTACTCAGTTTCAGAACTGGCAGCTCCATATCCGGATCACTGACTGCAGAGGTCATCAAAGTGGAAATTATGAGTAATTAAGATGTGCTGTTGCCCCCTACAGCCAACAGCAGTGTGCCAGTTCAAGTACGAGATAGGGCACCTGAGGTATAGAACCCAATCTGTGAAAGCTGCTCAGAATAAAACTTTGGTGAAGCATCTGAAGAGAATGTTGTAGCTATTCTTTAGATCAGGGGTGTTGTTAAGTCT